TCTGAAATGGAATATTCAAATATCCACCTTGAAGAGTAAAATGTAAAATGGAAAATTGTTGAAATTAGAATTGTAATATCTTGCAGGATTTATGCATCACACATATTTCTAATATTTGGTTAATATGGATATACATGGTGACAGAAAATGGCTTTCACGTGCTGGATGTAGTGATTCCAGTTAGTTTCAGCAAAATGGGAGATCAGCTGACTGGTCTTCGTCCTGTGTTTTTTTTAACAAACAAACCCTTAATCATGTGTTTGAGTGTGTGAGAATCGACTAGAAGAGCAGTCTTCTGGAGAATCATTGGCCTGGATCTGCCAAAAGATTTCTGCATGTACTAGAGTCCTAACAGAAGTGGGAAAAGTTAAACACTGTGTATTCTCAACTGCTCTTCTGCTTGTGCAAGGTATTTGCAAGCAATTTCTGGGCAGTGTAACATATAGGGAGGAAAGTGAAACAAATTATGTAACAGAATTGTGCTAAATCTGTTTATGTTTCTGCTTGTGCACTGGATCGAAGCAGTTGAATCTAGCAATCTATCAGTGGCTGGTTCAGAATGCTTTAGATGTAGTTGTCTCAGTATGTACTCTTTAAATAAAGGAAACATGGTTAAAGATGGAAGGATAAGTTGGTAGTGTGCATATTCAGTTGTAGGGAGTGTGGCTCAAGGTCTAATGGAACTGCAGCCTTACAAGACTGAAACTCCTATGAACAATTCAGAAGTTGCACTGCTGTTCCCTTCAAACTGTTATTTGCCATGTTTGTGAGAGGTTGCATATTCATCTCTTAGCATCTGCTCAGACATCTCTTAGTATCTACTCAGACATCATCAGAGAGGTCCCTCAGTATTAATCTACATGATCAACCAATTGTTCCTTTTCAGGGTGGGGAAAATGACATTCTGAAGTGGTACAGACCCAGAGAGATGTGCAGATAACATCTGAGAACTGTGGCTTTAGAAGAAACTCCTTGTGGAATTGTGTATGTTATTAAACACAAGAAAGTGTTCTGCAAGATTAGATGGTACCAATACCTAGTAAAAATAAACCTTAACAAGGAGGGATCCTTTCTGGATCTCAGAGCTATGTTTTATACAGTATTATAGAACTATCTGCCAATGAGCAAGTCTCTCAGTGTTAAATACGGTTATTCTGAAGTTCTTAGACTAAGCCAATTACATATGATTAACCATATTTAGGATTCCAGAACTTACTAACACTTATTGGTGACAAGAAGTACCTTCTAAAAGGCAAATCTAGTTTTCTGATAGAATAGAAATGGATTGTCTGCTTCTGTGACACTAAATTCAGAGTTCCTCAGTGATAATAAAGACGTAATATGAAGTGACAGATGAGGTGGGCAATAATATGATTGTGATCTTAATTTAGGAAATGTTTGGTCTAGAAAGTGTTTAATCCAGGGACAACTGTATTACAGGAAGGCAGGCTGGTAACTTTGCAGCAGAATGGAGAATGGCAGGTTGATGAAGATGATGTGTTATATATAGTTATCTTGATGGATTAGCAGTAAGCATTCAGTCCTTTGTGAGTGTAATCCCTCTGAGTTTTGAGTTTATGATATACAGATTTGCTAGGATTGAATGAATGTAGAATGGGCATAAGAGGATACTGGACACTTTCAGAAACATAAACCTAGTGCAATCCTCTGTATAAATATGCAATTCCTTTTATGTGTTATGTAATATTAATTGAGCTGGCCCTAAAAACTGCATTTCCACAGGATCTCATCCTGGTCAAGTTCATTCTTTCCAGACTAGCATGGCTCCATCAGTCCAATTGTGGAAAGTTATTCTAAACCAGTTAGTCAAAAGCACAGCAGTATGGACAGTGAATTCCTCTAATACTGGGCACAATGGCAAACAGTTTCTTATTTTTCCATTGGGGTAGCCATGTTAGTCTATTGTAGCAAAATAAAATAGAAGTCCAGTGACACTAAAGACTAACACAGTTTCTGAGGCATAAATCGTGTATGGTGTCCTAATTTATGACATATATAATAAATGATTGTTATTTTTCTTGTGTAAATGGATGTCCACAGTAAGCACTTATGAAAGATAATGTGATATATTTGAAGCAGAATCCCATGTAGAAGTTACAGGACACATTTCAATGTCACTTGAAACATAAGAAGTCAGTACATGAAAAGTCAACGAAGTAGAGGGTAATCACTTGGTATGATTGAAACATTTTTCTTTTTTTTCATTTCAGAAGCATAGAATTGTCTTGTATCTTCCAGATTTTTTAAAAAGAAAAAAATAATTCTTTCACTTGCAAAACTAATTAACTCAACTTGAGCATAGTATTCACTTTCAATACCATAATAAACAATAATATATGAAACTAAAAAGGCATGAAAATGAAATGTATGGTCTTTTGAGTTTTGGATGAGAACAGGTGAAATGTTCTGCAGAACGTTGACCTTACTGATGACAGCGGCTTTATTCTGTAACAATTATACCAAAGTGCTACTGCATCAGACATACAAATAATGCAAAAGCAAAACTGACATATATAGCGATATATAGAAAGAAAAAAATACTTTAAATAAGTCCAGCTGTTTTGCTGCCTGCAGCCTAGGACCTTTCTAAACTGAATCTATTATTCATGTTTTAAACACCCAACACTGATTTAAAGGCCTGCTTCCAAATACTCAAGAGTTGACCTGCAATTGTTCCACTAATTTTTTTAAAAAGGTCCATTAACTAACAATCAGTTGTTTTTCTTTATTGAAGAGTACAACTGCATTTAGATCAAACTCTCACATAAAATAGTGCCTTAAAATTTACAGTGATGCCTTTTATGTTTCAGGTGTAATAGACAACAGTGATAATCCCAGAACAACACTCCAGTTGAGCTATTATATTTTTAAAAATTACAAATTGGCTACCAGGATGGACTGTTCTGTGTACCAGTTCAGAATATTATTTTCTTCTCCTTTCCCAACTGTGGGCTTACTTTGGCAAGATGCCGAATATTGTATAATGCAATCCAATGCACAGAGGTAAATCTTGCTGAGGTCAATGAAACTTACTCCTTAGTAAGTGAACATGGGATCAGAACCCTGCTCTGCTTGAGATCCTGGATGCATTTATCCAGAGGAGTTAGCCATGTTAGTCTGTTGCTGCAAAATAGTAAAAATCCCAGTAGCCCAGTAGCACTTTTAAGACTGACAAACTTTATTGTAGCATGAGCACAGCTCTCTGATGAATAGAGCTGTGTTTCTCAATAGCTTATGCTGCAATAAAGTTTGTTAGTCTTAAAAGTGCTACTGGGCTTTTTACTATTTTAGATGCATTTATGTGGAACTTGGTCCCAAACTAAATGTGACAAGCAGAGACACATCTCATTCCTTTTCTTTAACCATAAACCAACCACAACAGGCTCCTAGTTTGAGAGGAATTATGGGTGGGAAGGGCTACTTAATTATTGTTCCTTCCAGTAATGTAGATACCCATATCTTGTCCCCTTTGGGGATAAAAGCACCAGGGAGGAGAGTTGAAAAATTGTTGTCCCCATGGTGGTCTACCACTGAAACTCAACCCTCCCCCATTGTTTTTAACAAAGAAAGAAATCAGAGAAAAAGACATGTGGCTGTCTGGCGTGTCTATTTGGTCCTACAGTTTCAGTGGGACGTCTGTCCAAATAATTGTGCTTAGGATTAGAGCCTTAAACAAGTTCTTGCATCTTCCACTACTTCAGGGTAAGAATGTCCAGGGTTTTGTGAGATTCTGCCTCTAATACAGAAGCTACTTACTTATGGGGTGTTACAGCATCCAGTTGTGTTTGATTTTACTACTCAGTTCTGTTGTCTTTAGATCTTGGTGCAGTATACCATCCAGCTGTGCTGGGAACTCCTAGTGCTACCACAGAGACTGTCATTCAGCCACTACCTCACAGTGTTCCCCTGTGTTCCATAACCACTGTTCAAATAAAATTGTGCCGGAATTTGGTGCAAAGTTCTTCTTTTATAAACTGGAGACATACCGACACAATATATTTCTATTATACTAGCATATAAAATAATTCTGAGTTCTCAACTGGACAAAAATAACATTATTGGCTATTGAGTGATGAAAGTGAAATGGAGCTAAATGTAAACAATACTTCTAAATAATTAAAAATCACATTACCCATAATTATTCCAGCTATTTTATATGTGATAATTTTAAACTTTGGTTGCTACAAAAATGCATGTGCTTATTTTTAAGCATATTTAAATAATAAAGGTATCACAAAAAAATTTCAATGCTGAGCATAAATATCGAGTAACTCATCATATACGTTTTCAGTAGTTGAAAGGACTCAAAGCTGTTGCTCTTTTATATTAAAGGAAGAATTAAATTACCACCCCCCTCTGGAAGTGGGAGGATTTATGCCTTCAGATGACAAAATACAAGAAAAGCAAGCACGTTTTTTTTAAAAAAAAGATTAAATCTTTTTGCAAATTTTAAGGTGCCAAAAAAGGAAACAAAAATGATATGCAAAAAAGGATGAGTCGCATCCTAAAAAAATAAAAATAAGAAAGAATTCCCATACTCTTTGGAATATACAACTTGGTTAAAAAAAATAATTCCAGGATATAAAACCTCTCGTTCACAGCATTGCTAAATCAGAAGCATTCACAGTTTCTCTCTGAGAATCTTCCTATACTTCTTTTTAACTCATGTCAAAATGATTAAGACATTGAGATTGTGTTAGGCTTTAAGTCTCCAAATCAGATGTCAAGCAAAACACTCTTTACAGGCTTTGACATTCTCCAAACATGTGTTTGAAGCCTCCAGCTCTGGAAACATAGAGATCTACTTTTCTCCATATCTACAGACAAAGTGAGTGAGTACTGCCATCTTAAATGCTCTCATTTTCAGAAGTTCAGTCCTTGGACAAGTATACTTTTCTGGAATGTTATCACCTCACTGATTAAAATTTATTGGATAACATTGTGATACCATTCCTGGAAATATTGACTTCTGGGTTGATTGTTTTTCAGAGCAATAGATAAACATGGCAGTGCCCACAGCCATTCACAAGGAAACCTTGGACATCAGCAGATAAAACATTTTAGTCCCAGCCCATCGTTGCTAATAATTTATTCAGTATGGTCGCCATACTGCTTCTTCTAGCCTTGCTGTGGTTCCCATGTTAGTAGGGGAGTTGCTATGGCTACCTTCCGTGTCCACAACATCATTTTGATTTGGAAGATTGGGGTTCAGGAGCGTAGATCCTGTAGAAGCATTAGTGCAAGGAGGAAGAATACGTGGAGGGGACCGATCTCCTCCAGACATCATGGAGAACTGGTATGATCCAGCTGATGTTCCATAGTAGAGATGATAAGAGGGGGAGCCGGTCTGAAATGGGCCACCTTGAGCCTGAGAAGAACCTGGGTATGGAGGTGGTAGATAAGTGTGGTATCTGGTAGCAGTGGTCATGGCAGACATACCAATTCCTATTCCTGAGCTGACAGGTGTTGGAGTATAGGTGAATGCTCCTGGATAGTGCATGCGAGGATCAGAGGTATTGGAGGGAAAGGACGATCAATTCCTACTCGTGGGTCACTGAATGCTGTTAGGTCAGAAGCACCTGGTTTGGGGAAGGGAAAAGAGAACAATTCTGTAAACATTAAAACACATAACACTAACTACATGACACTTTAGGAGAAAAAAGTGATCTTAATAAATTAACTTAATTGTCAAATATCAAAATACAAACTATATTACAGTTTATCGACAACAAAGACTTTGTAACATTGTTGCTATTAAAGCTTTTTGCATTTGTGTTATATCTGAAATAGAGTCCCCACTGTAATCATAAAAATGTCCTTCCAGAAGAAATATCCATCTACCTTATTTCCTACCACTGAAACATCTCCAGTACCCTGAAATCAAGGGTTGCTAGCTCTGGGTTGAGAAATACCTGGAGCTTTCAGAAGTGGAGTCTGAGGAGGGTGGAGTCCTCAGTGTTGTATAATGCCACAGAGTCCACCTTCCAAAGCAGCCATTTTCTCCAGGGGAACTGATCTCGGTCACCTGGAGATCTAGCCACCACCTGGAGGTTGGCAACCCTACCTGAAGGTGATGCTTTTCGTTGCTTTTAAAAAATACCCAGGGTTTAACTACATAATAACTGATAAACTGGGAAATGTATCGTAATATAAATTCAGTTTTTCTGAACAGGCAAACTATCCATTATGTTGTCGAAGGCTTTCACGGCCGGAGTTCATTACTTGCTATAGATTTTCCGGGTTGTGTGGCCGTGGTCTTGGCACTGTAGAACCTGACATTTTGCCAGTAGCTGTGACGTTTGTGTTATACCTCTGAGGATGCCAGTCACAGCTACTGGCAAAATGTCAGGTTCTACAGTGCCAAGACCACGGCCACACAACCCGGAAAATCTACAGGAACTAAAAAACTATCCATTGTTTTATGGCAATTCTCAAAATGTGGACCTGTTTTGATGAAGATGTTTATGAAAATCATATTTCCCTTCCTCTCAGCTCAGTAAGACTTTAAGTGGCCTGCTTTTCCCAAAAATTAGTTGTGAAATTATTCCAAAGAATGTGTTCAGCATTTGAAGTGCTGGTTGTACTTCAACTGTTTTGATGGAAGAACTCCCAGCCACCATCTCCCTCCACCCTCAAAAAGGGATTAAAAAGATAATGGCCTCTTAAGAAACAGCTTCTAGACAGAGTCTAATTAACAGAGATTGAGGCTCCCCTTTCTTGCCAGTTATTATGAGGCATTAAAAACAACAATAACTAAATCTTTCCTTATGGCAACACCACCTCAGACATGGTGTGGAATCTGCATAAAAGGAATGTGTATGTATAGGTGGGGGGAATCAGTAGGCAGGAGAAAGAAAACAAAAACAGTCTGCACTGTGACTAGATTAAAAAGCACACTAGACATATTGTAGGGTCAGGTTCTGAAAACCTGTCAGCCCAGAAGCCAAGCCTCTTTGATATATTTCCACACGTTTCTCAGTAGATTTTTGTGACATGCTGTAGTACTTTAAATTTCAGGTATAGTTATTGTCTGCCTTTCCACTTAATACTCCTCCTGAACACCTGGGCATACCTCTTATAGATTAGATTTCCCTTTGAAACATCAGCTGTAAATAGGATTGTCTCATTTTCCAGGATGGTTTTAATTACTGCACTAGGTAAAAATTCAACAGGTAATGTTGGGCTTAACATGGAGAAGGTGGAGTAGAAAAAGCTTCACTTGAATATAAAATCTATTGTAATGATGTTTTATGCCAGCTGTTCCTCAATGTCAGATGACAAACCAAGTATACTGCTGATTTACTGCTGGTTAATTCTTATAGATAAGAAAAATTGAATATAGAAATCATGATACAGGTGACCTATTATTCAGTCAATGCATAAAGGCAATTTCTTGGATCCTTCATACTCTCTCAAAAATTGGTCTACATATTTCAAATTTGTATTCCATCTGCCCTTAAAAAAAGGAAATTAACTATAGACTTTTATGTACTGTGGGAAGGTGAATTTAGTGGGTGAATATAAAGATTAGAGGTTTTTTATGTATTTACAAAATAGTGTTTGAAGTATAAATAGTACCCCAGACACAAAAGACTTCTGCCCAGTGGGCAGATAGTCATACATGTGACACTCCGTGCAAAACACTGGATAGCCCCCAACCCCCTGCTGGCATTCTGGCTTCATAATTCTTTTAAACCCTTGGTATTTATGTGGTTTTTGTTATCAAGTCAAATTATTTTACGGGAAAGACAAAGAGCCTAGGGCCTTGTCTTTCTGGCTCTTTTTGGGCTTCTTACAGAGCCACAGGCAAAGAGCCCTTTAGCTCGCCCTTCGGCTGACACCAGAGCTTCATTATAAAACCAGTTACATTTGCTTAAGGACAAAAGTCATCCATACAAACTTTTAAAAGTTAGAAACAGCAAGTTAAAGGTTTTTTTTAAAGTTCTCTCATGGGCAGACACCACACCTCCACAGGAAAATCTCTTGTAAACATATTACAAACTCACCATTCATCTGACTTATGTTGCAATTGGAAACAATTCCATTCAAACAGAATTGGGTCAAATCCTAAAAGTCATTCATAATAGGGCTTGTGTACAATTTCTGAATGTTGTTTACAATGTTTGTTGGGAGAGAGCCAGAAGACTCTTGGATTGGTGTGCCAGTGTGAATTATTCCTTCAGTCACAATGCTGAATGGATTCAAATCTTAAAATCACAGGCTCCATTTTGAGAAAGGCAGAGTTCCACAGTACAGTCCCCATTTTATGGCACTAGGGCTAGATTTGCTCACTTTTTCCAGTCAGAGTTGCCTTTAGATCTTGGTGCAGCGTACCATCCAGTTGTGCTGGGAACTCCGAGTGCTACCACAGAGACTGTTATTCAGTCACTGCCTCCCAGTATCCCCCTGTGTTATATAACCACTGTCCCCCCCAAAAAAAGGGCCAAAATTGGTGCAACAGCAATGGCTGGTGACCCTGAGAATTAGTCACTTGTTTGGGGAAAGTCTCAACTATCCCAAGTTCTGGACTAGCTGTCTAACACATGCAAAACTCTCTATGCATCATTGCAACTTATATGCAAATATAGATCAATAATTTAGATACAAAACATTCTTTTGTTGTGCTGGTGAGATCGCGCCCGGAAAATCCGCCTGTTTTCCGTCTCACTTGTGTGGATTCTGTTCCGTACAAAACATTCTCAAGCCTGTTATCTTATACAAGATCTAATGCCACAACCAAGGGCCCCTTTTAATTACTAAGGGAAGGACAGACAAGAACCACCCTTAATTGCACAGTTTTCTACAGTCCTATTCACAAGTTCCACTGAATGCATGTACAATCTGTGTGCCATACACACTTGAATTTTCTTTATACATGCACTGAATTCTCACTGAATTCTCATTCGATGCATTGGCTCTTTCTTACAAACAGACTTATACATATACAGGCAGGTTGTGTGTGCATTCACTTCTATTATTCACAAAAAACTTGTCAACAATGAAATCTTATTATTTGGAATAAGGTAAGATTAGTTATAAGATTTCATAACTGTCTCCATCCTAATAAGTCTCTGCCCCAAACTCTGTCCCTATCACATGTCACATAGCCTTTTCTACTGAGAGTGCTGCTGTGGCAAGTAATACGGCTGCCAGCTGCATTTTTGCTATGTACATTTTCCTCAGAAGCCAAGAGGTTCACGTATGATATGTCTCTGCCCCAAATTCTGTCCCTATCACATGTCACATAGCCTTTTCTACTGAGAGTGCTGCTGTGGCAAGTAATACGGCTGCCAGCTGCATTTTTGCTATGTACATTTTCCTCAGAAGCCAAGAGGTTCACGTATGATATAGAAGAAGAAGAAGAAGAAGAAGAAGAAGAAGAAGAAGAAGAGGAGGAGGAAGAGCCCCCGCCGTTCACTCAGAGTCTCAGAGCGGCTTAAAAACTCTTTTCCCTTCCCATCCCCACAACAGACATGCTGTGAGGTATGTGGGGCTGAGAGAGATCTTTCCAGAACTTTCCTTGAGAGGACAGCTCTGACAGAACTATGTCTTGTCCAAGGTCATCCAGCAGCTGCAGGTGGAGGAGTGGGGAATCAAACCTGGTTCTCCCAGATTAGAGTCCACATACTTAGCCACTATACCAAACTGAACGAAGTATCGTGCACGCAGCACAAGAGATGTAATATAGATACAACATGTAAGGTACTTGCATTCCTGGGCCAGAAACAAAGAGGTTAGATGTTAATACCACGCCTATTACTTAACAACAATGCAGCTCATCTGAATTTCCTTTGGTCT